CTTTTGCTCATCCTATAGATACCAAGGATCTCAATACCATTAAGGATTCTTATGTTACTCAGGTCCCTGCTGTCAACAAGATTGAGAGCAAAACAAAGCATTTAGACTTTCTCAAATAAGAACTAATCTTCAAACAGATTGATGAACAACTCAATCAAAAAAGTCTCCAAGACTCTATTCAAAGGTTCAGATTAAGACTTGAAAGTCAGGTTTGCTCTGATCTCCCAAACGCTTTTTAGCACAGAAGACAACACATTGTTGAATTACCTTATGAAAAATCTTTCAATGAAAAGGATATCCCTACTAAAGCCCGTCCTAGCCAAATGAGTCAAAAACTTCTTGATTACTGTATGAAGGAAGTACAGGAATTATTGAACAAATCCCTCATCCGAAAAAGCCGTTCCCCATGGAGCTGTGCCACTTTCTATGTCCAAAAGAATGCTGAAATAGAAAGAGGTGTTCCTATATTAGTTATCAATTACAAGCCCCTCAATGAAGTTCTTCAATGGATCAGGTATCCCTTGCCCAATAAAAAGGACCTAATCCAATGTCTCGTTCATGCAACCGTTTTTTCAAAGTTTGATCTCAAGTCAGGATTCTGGTAAACCCAAATTGTTGAAAAAGATAGATACAAAACAGCTTTCACGGTTCCTTTTAGCCATTACGAATGGAATGTGATGCCTTTCGGATTAAAAAATGCCCCTTCAGAATTCCAAAAAATTACGAATGATATTTTTATTCATCTTACGAATTTTTTAATTGTTTATATTGATGATATACTAATATTTTCTTCTTCTATAGATGCTCATTGGAAACATCTCAATATATTTGCTCAAACCATCAAGCATAATGGATTAGGCCTTTCTTTATCAAAGTTAAACTTGTTTCAGACCAAGATTAGGTTATTAGGTTTTCAGATCCACCAAGGAACTGTCATCCCAATCAATAGATCCATCCAATTTGCTGATAAATTCCCTGATGAACTTAAAGACAAAACCCAGCTTCAAAGATTTTTAGGGTGCCTAAATTATCTTTCGGAGTTTTTCAAGGATCTTTTTCTTCTTTGTGCTCCACTACGCCAAAGATTAAAAAAGTCCCCTCCCCCATGGTCCGATGAGTATACAAAAACAGTCAGAATCCTTAAAAGCAAAGCAAAAAACCTTCCTTGCCTATCTATTGCCGATCCAGAAGCCTTCAAAATTGTGGAAACTGATGCCTCTGAATTAGGATATGGAGGTATCTTAAAACAAAAAACAGGTGACAAGGAATAACTAGTTCAGTTCGCATCTGGCACATGGAACCAAGCACAACAAAATTACTCCACAGTCAAAAATAAAATTTTATCTATAGTTTTATGCATTTCAAAATTTCAAAGTGATTTACTAAATCAAAAATTTTTAGTTCGTGTTAATTACCAATCTGCAAAAACTGTTTTAAAGAAAGATGTTCATAACATAGCCTCAAAACAAAATTTTGCCTGATGGCAAGCTATTCTTTCTGTATTTGACTTTGATATTGAATATATAAAAGGAGAAAACAATTCTCTTCCTGATTTTCTCACCAGGGAATTTTTGCAGGGAAAAGCAGGAGCTTAAGGGCGGTTACCATGCCTCCCAAGACAGGTAGAGGAACCTCAGTTGCAAGCATAAAACCCCACAAAATAAAAGATGCATATGCACAATCATCCTCTTCTCAAACCCTTTCCAAAAGATATCTTCCAAAAGATGAAGAAGATATGTGTGCTAGTCCATCTCCATTAATTACAAACCAGTTTTCAGCCCTAACCACAATTCCCTAACATGTCATAGACATGTCCCTAATCCAATATAACCCCATCCAAACATACTTACAATCCCAACAACCAGTTTTCCTTCCCCTTCAAAAAACTTATGTTACAATTTCTTCAGCATTAGATAAACAAATTTCCTCAAGATCTGTTTCACAGCAAGTGGTGGTCAACAATCCCACTCTCAAAAAATCTAGTTATTTTCAAAAACCAAATTCATCAACCATTTATGTGGTTGAAAAAGAACTTTTTAACCAAAACCCAATTTTACTTTCTTAAAATTATTTTGTCAAAGGTTTTCATTATCTAACATTAGATTTTCGAAAAACATAAAATTTTTATGAGTTTATTTTAGTGGACACTGATTCCATCAAAATTCGAACTCATTCAAAACCAGGTGATGACTCTTTCATTTCTCACACCACATGTACCATTCAAAATATCCTTACCCGGCAACCTGGGGTCAAAACATCAATGCTCCGAGGCAATTTTCTAAGCCTCGCAACCCTCAAACTTTCAATTACTGGGACTATCAGGATGCCTGGTACAATACCTTTTATTTCCAAAATTAGGATTATAGCCATTCCTGGCTTATCTTTTCCAAAAGAATTTCAATCTAAATGTCCCCAAATGATTCACTGACTGGTGGCATATGTTTGGTCCCTGCCAAGAAATTATCCCTGAAACGATGTCTAAGGGATTTTCAATTTTCAATGAAAAATTCCAAGCTCCTCCTGAGCTTTCCGAATTTCCCAAATCATTCTTATTTTTTGCAAATTTCGCATTGTCATGGATAGTTCTATGGCAATTCTAAATCCTCAAAACCCCTTCTAATCTTCCTCTTCTAGGAAGGATTTTCAAAGTCAAATGGTGGGACCAATTCTCTATCAAAGATGTTACTCCAGAAGCAATTTCAGAATGGTTCTCAAAGCACCCTACAATATCATGTTCTGGCTTAGGAGAGTTTTCGGCTTTCCTCCTATCCAAAAGCCAGGCCCAAGTAAAGCTTTCTTCAGCAAAATCCTAAGATGAATATGAAGCCTTCCTCATGGAAACTTTAGCCCAAGTCAATCCCAAAGCCTTCTCAAAAATGGGCTCCAACAGAAGTGAAGGCTTAGGTTCTTTCTATGGTTCCCAAACAGATCTAGCCCAACCCAATGAAGATGACTGTTTTGGTATTTTTACCCAACAGCTCCAGTAAACAATATTCTCAAAAATCATCATTTCATTTCAAAAAAGTTTCTGACTTCGGTCATTCAATGCCGCTGCATAGCGACAAAAAAAAAAAAAAAAAAAAAAAAAAAAAAAAAAAAAAAAAGGGAAAATCTACAGTTTAAAATTTTATTCAACAGTTCTCCATTTTCAGGCTTTTAGCACCTTTCGGTGCTCATGACAGACAAGCATTTCAAAAAAAGAATCCAAGGCAAGTCAGTGGCCGTCACCTCAATTCATCATTTCAGGCTTTGCACATGGCCTTCAGCATCATTCAAAAGACATCACCTCAAATTAGCCTTTCAGGCTTTGCACATGGTCTCCTGCTGTATCCTTATCACCAAGAAATCCAAAGCTCCCCAAGGCTCCTTCGAGGCCCTATAAATAACAGCTCCTCAAGACATTGAAAGGGGACTCATTTCAAGTTTAGTTCTTAGTTTCCATTTCAAAAGTTCTCAGTTCAAATTGTAATTTTTAAGTTTAAGATTTTAGTTTTACTTCATCCAAGGAGCTCGACTCAGAACAAAAGTGTTGTATTCAAAGATCAAAGTTGTAAGTTCCATGTTTTAATCAAAAGTTCTTCAAAGTTATTCATGTTCTGTTGTTTATTATTATCTTGCATATTTTCATATTTTATTTCATTATTTCGTTGATTATTTAACCTTTTCAATATTCTGTTTTTCTCATACTTCATTATCAGTCATTTATCCTAGGTGCTTATATATATATATATATATATATATATATATATATATATATATATATATATATATATATATATATATATAATATTATAATTCGAGTTCGAGTTTGCACGGCTTGTTAGCACCTCAACCCAAACACAACCTAAATTAAGTCGGATTTAGATTTTTCAATTTAAACCCGACCCTAATTAAAAAAATAATTGCCCAAATCTATGAATAATTAGGCTGGGGCGCAAATCATCTGTTGTGCGATTTCTATGTTGTCTCTTTCTGTGAACGTTAAGTGGTCTTGGTTTGGCCATGTTTTACTCCACTTAATAAACACTAAGACTGTGTTTATCAATTACACCACTATTTATAAGTAACATTTCACCACCATTTATAAGTAACATCATAAAAGTCTAAAAGTAATATCACAGGAGTTTAAAAAGTAACATCACAATTTATAAGAGGGTAACATCACTACTTAAAAAGTAAAGGTTGTTGACAACCTCATAATTCCCTTCAAAATCTTCTTTAAATTAACATGTGATAATTTTTTTTGGATGTTCTATTTTTATTATAAAATTTAATTTAAAAAATATATAAATAATATGTTGAATTGAGTTAGATTTATGTGTGACAATTAGTTTTTCAGCACTATGTGAATACCTTTTATTGATGGTGAAGGTGGTGAGTGTGACAATTAATATTAAACTTTGTCAAATTTTTTCCTTTGATGGTGAAGGTAATGTGTGTGACAATTAATATTAAACTTTGAAAAAAAAAATTCAAAGATATGTTAAATAATTTAAAACTAAGTGCATGTTTTTTTTTTTTTTTTTAATATTTTGAGTAAAAAAAAGAAGAAGATGTGGCTCTTTTCGTTATTTTTGGAAACAACGAGTATTTTGTTTGTTGTCTAAATTTAATCCAAGTGATTTTAATTTTGACTACTTATAAATGATGATGAATTGAGTTACGTTTGTATGTGACATTACTTAATTTGTATTATGTGTATACATTACTTAGCCTATATTATGTGCATATCTTATTTTGAGGGTGAAGATATTTATAAATAGTGATGAAATGTTATTAATAAATGATTGTGTAATTGTCAAATACAGTCTTAATATATATTAAGTGGAGTAAAATGTGACCAAATCAAATCCACTTAACGCTCACAGTAGGGCACAACATGAAAATCGCACGAAAATCGCACGGTAGGAGATTCGCGCCCATTAGGCTAAGTTCGGTTGCCCAACCCCGAGTTGCACCTTTAAGGAAATATACAGCCTTACTATTAGTGTAATTTACTGCCTATGTTTTAGACATAAAGTACCTTAAAACGTTTGAGTAAAGGAAATCCCAACTGTGTCCCGATTCCCCCCATTCCTCTGTACAGTGCATACGACGTGGCAACGATCGTTAAATTCGCTGGCTGAAGAAACCCTGAAGAAGATCGGCTAAAATTGTTGGGGTTTCTTCTTTTCTTCCTTGGTTAAGCTTCAACGATTCGCCAGATCTTCCCTTTCTAGGTAAACCATTGAAACCCCATGACAACAATATATATGTGTGTGTATTATATGTGGATTATACTTTCAATCGTCTGATCTATAAGCTAGAGAATTTTCTGCAATTGCTAATAAGGGTCTTTTTGCCCGTTTAAATGCTGGTTTTTTTTTTGCCAGATCAAAAATTTCTGTTCTTTGTGTCACATTATAAAATCTTGTGTATGATTTAAAGTTGGTGCACAGAATCATCACATATGTCTTCCCTTGCACATTGTTAAGGTTGTGTGTATGCTCATTGGAAGCTAATAGATGTTTCCTGTGTTTGTGAATTTGAAGGAAGAAGGGGATATAAAAAAGCAGTCAATACAGGGAGAACCAAAACATGGTAAAGCATATTTCCGTTTTTTAAATGCATGGAACTGCTATTGATTTAATTCAATTTAATGACTTATAAGATTATTATTGTTGGATTTTCAGTCGGCACTCTTCAACTTCAATTCATTTCTTACTGTGGTGCTGTTAGGGATTTGTACCTGCACTTTCTTAAAGATGCAATTTCCTGCACTTCTTGAACAGAAAACTGGGTATGTGCTCTCTGATAAATAAATTTGTTTATGGTTCGATGTTTGATTCCCGCGGATGATTAATAAATAGTTTGTTGGTTATTAAACATATTTTTTCTCCCTTGATTGCTTGTTTTGGGCATGCAAAATGAGAAATTATATTATTTCAGCATGCCAAAGATTTGAACAATGTAGTCTTCTCAACTATATGGGGTCGGTTATGTGAATCTTATTTTTCCATTATGCTATATCTAAGGCCATATCCTCAATAAAACCACATGTTATCATATTTTTCGTTACTAACTCTACCCATATTAGTTTTTGTCTTCCCTTCCCATGCCATTACACTCGATGTGGACCATGTCACTGTTACTTACTAGTGTATTTGGTAGTCTTTTTTGCACGTCTATACTACGATAATTACCTTAATTGATTTCTTTTTATCTTCGATGGATGCTATTTCAACCATCTCACGATTGTTTTAATTTCTAATTCCATCCATTTGTCTTGCTGCACATCCATCCTAATTCGAAATTCTGCCACACTCACTCTGTGCACATGTTGTTTCTTAGTTGCCTAATATTCGGTCCCATAAAAGAATAGTTGGTCTAATAGTTGTTTTTGTAGAACTTCTCTTTCAGTCTTAAAGGAATATGCTAATAGCACAATATTTCAGATGCACTTGTCCATTTAAAACCCATCTGCCTTGACTCTATAATTCATATCATTTGTGAACAATTGAGCATAAATAAGGAAAATGTTCAATTTTTCACATAACTTGATCCTCATTCTTCACTACTTCCCTATTTGTATTCTTCTTTTTACTAAGTTTACACTTCATATAATTTAGCTTTATGAGGGTGGGCCTTGGCACAACTGTTAAGTTGTTCCATTGTGACTTGGAGGTCACAAGTTCAAAATGGAAAACAGCCTCTCGGCATGCACTAGGCCACATGCCTTGGTGGTGCCAAGGAATTCAAACTCTGCACCACAATAGGGTAGCCTAATGATAAGGCTCTCACATAACATTTTGGAGGTTGGAGTAAAATAATGAAATGAAAAGTTTCCTCGACATTTTTGTTGTCTAGCCTTCTCTATAAATATATTTCAATTTTTGTGATAGTAGACTTGTGAAGGCTGGTACATGATTTTGTGGGTAACTGTTGAGAATAATGTGTAGAAAGTGTTGACCATTGGGACTCATCTCTATATGATGCTTATTGCTTCCATTTTTTTTCCCACTTTTCTGCCCTTGCTTTTAAAACTTCATGGGATAGTTTAATATGTTTATTATCTTTTTAATTCATTTTGTAATCTATGATTCAATTTGCATTTTGATGAGGCATGCATCGGGCAGGTTTCGAGGTTTCTTTTGGAAGGCTGCTAGAATAGGTACGCCTTTGCTTTACCAAAACACACATAAATATTGGACTAGTCAACAACTGCTATATCTTTTAAATAGTTCAGGTGTCGTTTTTGTTTAATCTTGCATGTGTTTTCACGCTGTAAGTGAATGCCTAATAAAACTCTGATAAGGGTGCACATTTCTGAACTGTTTCTAATAGAATTGCATGCCAGGTCCATGTACTATTTTTTTAATACCCTTAACTTTTTCTTTTTTTTTTGATAAGTAAAAATAATTAAATATTTAATACTTCTTAATCTCTGATGATAGAGTCATGTTGACAGGGGCTATCACCGTTAGAGGAATATTTGTTGCTGCTTGCGATTTTCTTTCATATGAGGATGTCCTAGACATTTAAAAGGCAAAAATATTTTTTGTTCACTAAAACACAAAATTCAGTTATATATCAACATTGGATTGATGCTCTATGTGAGCTTTAGTAGTGCACAAAGTAATATTTTTCCTTGGTCAAAGTGTCAGTTTTTTGAGTGTGCAGAATGGCAACATTCTTGCTGATGGCATACATAACATATATATACTCACTTTATGCCATGGAGTTTCTTGGCCTACACCATAGTGGATTATACGCTAACAGTCTGAATTTGCCTTTCTGCTTCGTCAAACAGGTGAGCGTTTGAGCCCTTGGGTAGCTGTAGGATGCTTCACAATGGGTGTGTCAGTAACCTTTTTCTGAGAAAGAGATGTTTGTTTATATAAAAGTAAACCCAACAGCATGTTATCAGATGGCTTGTGTGATAAAAGGTTATTTGTTTACTGTTCTCATCTTGGAAGCCTCTACTGGTAGTGTTGAGTGAATTTGTTTACTGGTGACAACTTTAGTACAAATACAGTTAGTCTGAATTTGTTTGCTATGATTGTAAAAGATGTTTCTGACTTGCTGAGCAATTTTTTTAACACATGTGCCTAAATTATTGGTTGTGAATTCACTATATCAGAACAAAGTATAAGAGTGACCTCATATTCAATGACAAAACCCTTCTTTTTTGTACAGACACTCACCGTTCTGTTTCCACACTATTGAGTTGGCACATAAGATTAGTAGATATATAGTTGTAGTTATGCTTATTACAGTACACGTACATAATATACTTGAAGGGAAACAGCGAAGACCATGAAAAGTAACAGAAGTCGAAGGAGAAGGAGGTTATATTGCTGAAATCATGGTAGTAGGAGGTTTAAACCCAACGGGAAGACAAGAGATGACGTAGAATGCAACCTTATGCTTAAACCTCTTGAAGACGAACACCCTCCCTTCGCCCCAGTGGAGAAGTGATATAATCATCTTCTTTAAAGGCTTTCTCCTGTCACCTTTGTCGGTAATTTCCACATTCTCTTCCTTGTTTTCTTTCTCTGCTTTGTTTTCTTCATCTTCTTCTCCCCAGTGAAGTGGATAGCTCCTTAAGAACACTCTTCTAGTATTGTAGTCTTCATTCCGGAAGCTCCTTGCCCTCATCTCACTTCCCTCCATATCTTTGGAATCCATGTTCTGAACATTAAGAATTGCTGAAGTTGGGTAGGGGACACTTATACACGGCAAAAAGGGGTGTAAGAGTAAGTTTAACAATTTTATAATAAAATGATTTGAGTTGTGAAGAGAGGACAGGAATATAGTAGAAAAATAACAAAAGGTAGGAGGAAAAGTTGGTCCTAGTAGTGATGTTATCCCTAGTATTTGTCTTCATCGATGATATTTATGCTATCTTCGTAGTATCTTATAAATACCATGTCAAGGTGCTTTGTAGAACATCAATTCCTCTACTCTATGGTGTCTGATATTTCGTAACGTATTTTGATGATGGAGATTATAATTATGCTTTAAAAGGTCTGATGGTATTGTTTGCTTTCAAGAGTACTCGATTAATTTCGTAGATAGGTTAGATTACTATATATTTTAATTCATATAGTATCATTGAATATGCCCCTCATTTTCTCCTAACAAGAGCTTAAGATGGTGTGTTGGACCTATAAACAATAGGTATACTGAATTAACAAGAGTTTACAGAAACGCCCCGAAATCTGTTTCTTCGACGATTAAGACTGTCTTGTTTTTAGGTTCGATTTGTACTGTTTGTCTTTATGTCTTCCTATATGTTATTAGGGTTTCAAAAAAAAATTGATCTGTGTGTGGAAGTTCTTCTGTAATGGTGTAAATCCTTTTATTACAGATAACTGAGATGTGCGTAGTAAATTATGCAGGACTTGTAGAACTAGAAGCTGCGGTTTAGAACGATTTTATTCCATAATATTATTCACTGTGACATTGAACCAATCTTGGTTGAAGCATTCGCAGCTAGGGAATTAAAATTTTTACTTTTTTTTCTTTTTAATCTAAAATTAGGTATGTTTTAATTCAATTTTCAAAGAATGATTTCCGAATAAAATTTGTAGTTGTTTTATATATTATACTAAATTCTTCAAATTTGATATTGAATTTGTTGGTAGCAATAAAACAGTTTGCCGTTTTGGGACTGATAGTGGATCCATAATATGGGTAGGATGACTCCAGTTTATATGCTTCCATGAGATCCACCGGCAAGGCACGTTGAAAATGATGGCAAAAATAGAATAAAATAAAAAAAGTTTAATGCAAAGAAATATTTGTTGATGTGGATGTTGTATAGATTAATATATAAAGAACTGATGGACCCTCAAATGACATTAGAAAATTTGAGGCTAATTGGTTTATTTTTTTGTTTATAAAAAATTTAAAAATAGAAAATAATATCAAATTTCGTTTGATTAATGGTTTACTTAAAATTATTTTTGAAAAATTGAACTAAATAGGTGTTATGACTCTCAACTGGTTAGATATTAATTATTGTATTTTATTTTGAGTGAAACTAAAATGTAATAAACTGTGATGTATGAATTAATAACTTAGACTGAATATTAGAGGTAAAGATTCGACTCTAATAAATTGAATTTAGTATAAAATAAATCTGTTTTACAGTGCCTTGAAATTTTAGAAAAATTAGTGGAACAGACACTCGAATTGGGAAAAAAAAAAATAATAATTTAAATTTTCAATTCCAATTTAAATAAATGAATATGAATATTATAGTTTTATATACTTCATATGCATTTTTGCAAGGATTGTAATTAACATATTTAACTAAATTCATAAGTTGCCTACCATTCAAGTGACTTCTTGATTTTGTGGATTTTAAATTCTCCTGAAATTGACAAAATTCAGGAGTTTCAACATCTTTTTACAAGACTTTTTTTAGCTCAATGGATTTTTATATTTTTATCTCACCAAAAATATGTAGATTAAAGTATGTGAATTAATCTCTTCTTTCAAAATAAAAAGTAGAGGGTTTGAGTATCCATAAATATTGTGAGATTATAGGGAAATTTTTTTTTGATATATTCATTGATTTGTAGACTCATCATATGGAATTAAAACAAAAATGATGATATTGATATATATATATATATATATATATATATAAAAAGTTGAATTCAATCTAAAGAAATGAATAGAGGCATGCAAATAAGTAAACCTCAACAAAAGAAAAAGAAAAAGAAAATTAAAAAATTCAAATTGAGACAAGCATAAAGTATAAAAATAATGAAAAAAAAAATTAAAATCTTTATCATTAATTTGATAAAAAAAAAAAAAAAAAACATCATTTCCACTTTCAAACAAATACTTTTCATTTTCATAAAAAATAAAAAATAAAAATAATAATAATATATGAACGTGTCATTTCAGATTAATGGGGTAAAATGAACTAAATAGTAAAAAGAGATGATTTGTGTCGCATAGTCAACACAATTCCAACTACTACTTGATCAATAGTCTCTATTTCGTCTCCTTAGTTGAGACACCCTACCAACTATTACTTAATCAATATTCATAGTATTTTCTCTCCCTCTATATTCATAACACACCATAATGGTTGAAATTACTACCTAAAAACATGGAAATATTAGGTGATCTAGGCTTGCACGTACTCTTGGTTCACAAGAAGAAATAATGCTCATGTCTCTCATTCCTAAAATTTGTTAGGTTTAGAGGACTACCTCGGTTCTATATATCCGCCTCCCAAGTACAAATATTTAGTAACTTTACAAATATTTAGAATATATTTTACCCTCCACAAATATTTATAATCTCTTCACTTTTAGAATATTTTCTAATCTCCCCAAATATTTATAATCTCTCCAACATTCTAGAGTTTTTTTTGTTAGATTTTCTACATAATAAAGTTTTTAAAACTTAACTACTGAATGGGTGTGAATAAATGTAAAAGCATACGAAGAACGGTTACGAAGGGACATAACCTTAAAATGAGACTATAATCATCAAGAGGGGCTCGAAATAATTTGGGACCTTGATGAAAAATAAAAACTTTTCTTTTTATAATATATTATTATTAAATGATATTTATTTAAAAATCATCCTTCTTACCTTGTAAAATGCAAAATTATTAATTAGATTCTTGTATTTAAGTTTGATAAGAATATACAAATATGTGAAATATATATACACAAATTTATAATAACAAAAGTTAATAAAATTAAAAAATAATTAAAGAAAAAGAACAATAGAATTTGATTTTAAAAATCCCAATCGAATACTCCTACAAATTCTTCATTAGAATAACAATGGGTTCAAATTGTGAGTAATGAGTGGAAAGAAAGAAAACTATAAGCTTGTAATGAGAGTGGAAGGAGATGATTTGTTGAGACTTTGACTCCATCAAATAGTAAGGATAGGTCATTAGCACCGTTCATATGTAATAATCCCAAATGTGTGTGTGTAACTTTTGGAGTGGGGGGAAGTTTCACCACTTGAAACTTTTGGAGTGGTGGTTAAAAACATATTTAATAATTAATATTTACGGTGGTATAACTTACTAAAATAAAATAGTATTATTGTAAAAAATGCTAATGAGAGAGAGAAAAAAAGTTATTTAAAAATATAAACCTTCGAGACCAATATTAAGATTATGTATAAGGAGAGAGAAGAAAAATATAAATATTCGGGGCCCAAAATTTTTGTATTAATTAGTGTTTAATTAAAAAACGTGAATGATGAGGAGAGAGGCCCTATGAGGCTTTGTCAGGACCGGTCTACCAACTCCACTCTATAATTGCGAGAGCCTCATGCAAGTTAGTCTAAATGAAGTCAGACTTAACCTTTATAATACTTCATCTATCCCAAAATAAATGTTCCTTTTAGAAACTAGGATTAATAACATGGTAATTTTGCCCATCCCGGTCTCAAAAAAGGCAACTCATAATGTAAGTGAAAAACCTATCCTATTTTGAATCCCCTTTTTCATAGTTTTTCAAAAAGGACATTTATTTTGGGACATAAATAGTACTAAATTAAGAAGATCCTTAATATCTTATTATTCACATACGTTCTACTTATTAGCCCATCATATTTCAACGAATGGATCACACGACCAAAAGCTAATATATCTAAGTTATTGTAAACGAACCAAGCCCTCTCAAAATCTAATAATCCCTATTTGTAATGTAAATAAGTATTTCGTAAAAGTCTATTGATTCGAAAGGGCTGAATGGACTTCTTGAAATTGGGAAATAAATCGTTTAAATTCTACTCCAATTCCAAATCAATGCATCAATTCAATGCTTTCGAAATAAATGCATTTCTAAAGGGTACAAGTGTAAAAAATACCCCTAAAATATACTTCGCGTAGCACTTTTACCTCTATCTAAAAAGTGTAATATCCGTTTTGCCTTTTTATTATTCCGAAAATGTCTAAAGGGATATATATATATATATATATATATATATATATATGCTACTAATCTCATAGTATAGGGTTGTTTTGTGCAAATTACTTTTTTTTTTTTTTTTTGAAAACATGGAAATATTAGGTGATCTAGGCTTGCACATACTCTTGGTTCACAAGAAGAAATAATGCTCATGTCTCTCATTCCTAAAATT